ATATTTAATTGAAAACAGAAAAAGACAACATCAAATGTTGAAACTAAGAAATTTCATTATTTTATAACAAATATATGCTCTATTTGATTGTGATGCCAACAACATCATTCAAAAACGTTGGAACAGGGGCGTATTTCCCACTGTGTTACATCACCTCTTTTAACAACACGCTGTAAAGGTTGTGAACTGAGACCGAGTTTCTCCTGTTTGCTTACGATGGTGATTCACGCCTAACGCCTAACAGCCACAGAAAGTAAAAAACAGAGATGCATTAAAAACTGATTATTACATCACTAGGCAAGATTAATTTAATACGTGTGATGTCTGATGGACCGTTTAAAGGAAGTTTGTGTGCCGCACATGTGCCACCCTGTCAAGAAGTTTGCGGTAGATATTGGAACTGTAGTAATACATTATGCCACTAGGGGACGCACAAAACCATAGCTAAATCGGCACGACGTTGACGTTGAAAAACAACCTACGTACATCACTCTTCCCGAGTTATCAAAATTGATAAGGGCAAGGGAATTGGACTTCTGTTTATTTTTGCCCCTGGTTTTTATTACCCTTATGTGTAAATCATGTTCTTTGTGTTTGTGCACTCTGGTTAAGTCCTTGTCCTTAATGTCTTTGTTCTTGCTTAACCTCATCAGTGCTTTAGCTGAATATTTACCACTGTGCCTAGTTTGTATCTGCATCCTGTGTTCTTCGTATCTCCTGGTCTCTTATTCCCTAGTTTTTTGGATAACTATTAATGGTCCACACCTGTTCCTTGTCTCCCCCTGCTTATTTGCTATTCCATTTTCAGCTATTGAAAATGTTTGATGATGGGCCCAGTTGAATGCCCAGTTCTGGATCTGTGTAGTCACTTTCTATTTTCTTGTGTTTGTTTTAAGTCTTTGTTAGTTCTACAATTACTTGCCCCTTTTGTTTAAACCCATTGTGGTCCCTTTTCTTTTTGAGTGTTTTGAGTTAAGTTTGAAACGAAGTTCCCCATGTCTGAAAGCTGCATTGTGTATAATCAACCATGCCTGTATGTGACAAAGTATGCCGTAAAGTACCACAAAGCATTACAGATCTGTCATGGGTTTAACAAACTGAGTAACATGCTGCCCATCAGCAACCAGCATATTCAGAGAATTTGCAACACATTAACAGCAAACAATCCACTGAAACCTTTCAATGAATGGACGTCATTGTTATCACAGGATAGTGGTCATATTATGAAAGCACTATAAAGGGAACATGGCTGTGTCATCTGGGCACTTTTCTCAGATGTCTTTCAGTTTGCAGTGTGGCTTAAACACCAGGAAATCTGTGAGTGCCCTGATGTACCTGTGAGTGCCCTGATGTCAGTATCGAATGGCACCGTAGGGTTGCAGGTGGATGGCAACCGGTTTGACAGGCTGTTTGAAAATTAAAGGGCTTCAAAAGAAGCCACACGGGCTGGGTGTTGATGTCACTTAACAGCGGATACAGAGCATCCATAATTATGTGACTTTTGGCTACAGGTATGTCCTGCTTTGGCTGTATTACAAAACACTTCTGCTATTCATTGTCAACATGCATGATCTGTCGAGAAGCCACCATGACTCTTGTGCAAGTGTGACGCCCCCAATAGATCTACAACATTGTGGCTTCGGGATGCTTCAGTTGCTATTGCACATGAAAATCTTAACCTCTCAGCACAAATATGGGCACCACAGAATAAACTTTTAACAGGGGTTATATTAAACATAAATGAGAGTCATTTAGTGGCATTTATTTATTTTGCATTATTTGTAAGAGCCCAGTGGTGAAATCAGTCTGTT